TGGTTTGAACCACAAGATCAGTGGTTCAAACTCACCAGTCACTTCTCGGAAATCCTATATAGACTAGTAAAAACATTTAAGCTCTCAGCTACTAACTGAAAGTTTGGCTGTTCGAATTTATGCAAAGATGCCTTAGAAGAAAGCCCTGGTGGTCTGCTTCTGAAAGACCACAGTGTTAAAAACTCTATGGAACACAGTTCTCCTTTGTGCGCTGACATGATGGCACAGTTTTGCAAAGCTGGGCTTTCAAGGTTGCTGTAGGAAAAATCAAGAACTGTGACAAAACTGGCATAGAAAAGGACCATGAGTGGTGGTGCCCACGCTGATGCTAACAGGCACTCATCCACCTTTACAGTAACAATGTAGGAGTCCCTGGGTGGTGGACACGAGCCCAGTGACACTGTGGGTTAGGCACTGGGATGCTAACTGCAAGGCTGGGGGTTTAAACCCTCCAGCTGATCTGCAGGAGAGAGATGAGTCTGCCTGCTGCCATCAAGATTTTGTCTGTTCCTGTAAAGATTTGCAGTCTCAGAAATCCTATATAGGGGCACTCTGGACTGGAATTGACTCGATGGCAGTGAGTTTGGTTTTGGTAGGGTAGTACAAGTAATTAATTTGCTTGGCTGTTCCCTGGAAATGTAGGCAGTTTGAGTCCACTCAGATATGCCTCGGAAGAAAAGCCTGGCAATATACTTCCAAAAAATCAGCCACTGAAAGTTCTGTGGAGACAGTTCCACTCTGAGAACACTGGGTCTCCATGAGTCAGAACTGACCTGCTGGCAACTGGATTTTATTGGCAGTTATTGAAGAATGGGAGTCCTGGTGTGGCGTTGTAGGATAATGCATTGGACCACAAGATCAGCAGTACAAATTCACCAGCCGCACCTCTTATGTCAGAACCGGCTTAATGGCAACATTTAAGAACAAAATAAAAATGGTTTATTCTTTCTTTCTATTTGTTGCTGTTGTTAAGTCCTGCCGAGTTGGTTCTGACTCATTGCGACCCTGTATAGGGTTTCTGAAGAGCTGCTGATGTGTTTGAACTTCTGACCTTTAGGTTAGCGGTCTAGTGATCATCTGCCACTGTATCCATCAATAGTTTTAAACAAGGAGCCCTGTTGATACAGTGGTTAAGCACTTAGCTGCTAACCGAAAGCTCAGTGGTTTGAATCCACCAGCCGTTCTGAGAGAGAGAAGGTCTGGCGATATGTGCCTGTCAAGATTTAACATGGTCGCAATTGAGCCCATTCAGACTCAGACCGGCCCTATAGAGAAGGTTTCTCTAGGAAACCCTCTGAGTGCAGTCTCCACTCTGTCCTGTAAGTAGGGGTGCTAAGAGCTGGAATTAACTGGGTGGCCCACAACAACACTGACATATTTTCAAATAAGCACTAAGTTATCAGGGTATAATTGCTTAAATTGTTTGTACCTAACTGCTGAATAAATGGAACTTCATGGGAGGTAGAATCAGTTGCTCCCAACAAGCTTATCTGGTGGGGAATATTATTGTCTTCATAGATAAGGGCTCAGAGGTCCAGAGAGGGCAAATTACGTGCCCAAGTTCACCCAGCAGAGTCTTGAAGTCTGGAATCTGCTCTACTGATGCAGGGAAATGACTCCGGAAAACGGACTAGCAGTGTGAAGGCTTTTATTCAATTACAATGATGTTCTGAATCATGTGCTTCCGTCTGCACACACAGGCAAGCCCTGTGTTTGTCATTGCTACCAGTGTTTTATTATAGTCACTGATTTTGTCCTGTTTTCTGGTGTCTTAGCTACAATGGTGTTTCACTTAGTATTATGAACCCACGTCAATGGTTTTGAGTCCCAGCTAGATCAAGCCATAGCCTTGGGCAAGTGACTATGAACAGAGTTTGCAGATTTGTGGGTGGAAGATGTTTGTCTGCATGTAGGCACTTTAGCTTTGCTCAGAAGTTGGGACTGCCCAGTGAGAAGGTGGGTTTCAACCCTTCCCTAAGGAAAGTTACTCACCAACTCTGGGCCCCTGTGCCCTCTTTGATGTGGACACACCCACCACCCAGGTAGGGTTTTATGATAGCTAAGTGTGTTCATGTTGGAGGAGGGCTTGGCACACGTTTGAAGATGCTCTTACAAATAGGAGCTGTTTTCTTTACTCCTTGTTGTTACTGTTAGGTGGCAGCTGTCTTGTCCTCTTGGACTCATGGTGACCTTATGTCCCTCAGAATGAAATGTTGCCAGGTCCCGTACCCTCCACACCATCACCATCAACAGCATAGTCAAGTCCATTGTTCCGGCTGTTGTGTCAACACACCTCACAAAGGGTCTCTCTTGTCCTCACCAGCCCTCTGGTGACACCAAACACGATGTCTTCCTCTAGCGATTAAGCCCTCCTGATGATGTGCCCCCAAGCAAGTGAGTTGGACAAAGTATTTCTGTGACCCATTGGTCTCATTGGCTGATTTTCAGAAGCAGATCTCCAGGTCTTTCTTCCTACTCTGTCTTAGCCTGAAGACGCTACTGAAACCTGTCAACTGTGGGTGACCCTGCTGGTATGTGAAATATGGAGCTTCCAGCGTCACATACCACACAACATCACATATCACATCAAATAGTGAGCTTCTAGTATAGCTTCCAGAATCACAGCAACACAACAGTATGGCAGACTGACAGATGGGTGGCAGTCTTACTTGGTAGGTGAAGTGTCTTTAAAAGTCCTCTTGGATCCCTCTTCCTCTCCCACTTGCTGCCTGCCTGCAAGAAATTGACCATCTCCTTGCCCCCTCTTTGATCCCCGCCACCTACTTGGGACTAGCAGGCATGCAACGTGGCTGGAACCACAGTCTGCATTGTGCATCTCAGACACTGCCCCTGCCAGACTTCAGACACCCTGCTCGGCTTGTGAACTCATTAGCATGGGTGATGGGGAAGCCCAGACATTGCACACCCGGTGCTGAGATGTCAGGAAAGGTGTCCCTAGGGAGGAGGAGGAAAGAAGCTCCTTCTTCTAAAACCAGTAGACAGGTGGCCCAGCGGGTCTTTGGGGGTGAACCCCATTAGTGAAGAGTTGTCTCTTCGTTAATGCCTCACCTTTCAGTATCTTTAAATTTGCTTTTCTTTTTAGTGTTTCTATCTCTGAGTCTCTACCACTGGGATTATTCCAGCTGCTTCTGATCATTTTTATAATTGGTCACATAAGGAAATGGGATCAACCAGGGTGAACTTGGCCCAAAGACTGACTGGAGGGGGGTTGGGCTGACAATCCCGTGGTCTCCCTCGAGGGGTGTGTGGTGTGGAGAATGCAGACAGCTCTGAGTGACACTTTCAGAACAGGTGGCATAAAAGTGACTGCCTATTTTTGTACCGAGTTTCAGCAGAAATGTACTCTTTCTATGAAAGTATCACTGAAATTAGGTATAAGGCTATCTTAGTGGTGCTTTGGATAAGCACTGGACTGTCAGCTGCAAGTTTGGCAGTTCAAACCCACCAGCTTCTCTGCCTGAGAAGGACGAAGCTTTCTGCTCTGATAAAGATTTATAGCCTCAGAAACCCCATACAGGGTAGCTATGATGGCAGTGGGTGGGTAGTTAGTTACAACAACAAAAAAAACATTTGTCATAAGCCCAACTTATGTGTATCAACATACCTCCAAAGTTAAGACTCTATGCTAATTCACGTTTTGAACTTTCTGATGTACTCTGAGCAGCCCTGGTATAGAGGTCTGTGGTTCAAATCCACTAGCTGCTCCTTGGAAACCCTGTACAGGGTCATTATGAGTCAGAACCGACTTGATGGCACTTAACAACAACAACAACAACAACAGCATATTCTGAAAGAGCTCTGGTGGCACAGTGGATTAAGCATTGGGCTGCAAACTAAAAGGTCGGCAATTTAAACTCACCAGCCATTCTTCAAGAGAAAGATGAGGCAGCCAGCTTTCCTAAAGATTGACAGCTGAAAACGCTGGAGCAGTTCTGCTTTGCCCTATAGGATTGTTACGAGTCAGAATTAACTCACTGGGCAGTGGGCAATGTGATTGGCCAGAGCTGTCATCATTATCCAATTACAATGAGGATTCCAATCACGTGGTGTCATCTGCACATACTACAAAGCACATTTTTGTGGCTGCCAATGTTTTTAGGGAGTCCTGATGTGGTGCTGCAGGGTCAGCACTAGATTGCTAATCACAAGGTTAGAGGTTCAAACCCATCAGTCACTCCTTGGAAACCCTATACAGGGTCGCTATGAATTGGAACTGACTTGACGGCATATAACAAGTGTTTTTAAAACCACTGATTTTGTCACCTTTTCTGTTGTATTAGCTACAGTATTGTGGTGATTTGGAGTTCTGGTGTGGCGCTGTAGGATAAACACTGGACCACAAGCTCACTTGAACCACAAGATCATCAGCTGCTCCTTGGAAACCCTATACAGGGTCACTATGAGTCAGAACTGACCCAACACCACTTTGCAACAACAACAACAACAACAACAGCATTGTGCTAATTCGTATTTGTGAACCTATGGATAAGCAGCCCTGGTGACCCTTTTTAAGAATGAAGTAGTAATTAAAGGGAAAAAAGGACAAACAATTTTTCAGTAACTGAAAAGACTTCCTTTCAGTTAGTAATCATGTGGTAATTCAACGTAGAAAGATTTTTACCAATTTTGTTATTAGTATTTGTTTAATCTGAATCTGGGGAGCATGGTGGCTCTGTAGGATAAGCACTGGACTGTGAACTGCAAGGTTGGAAGTTCAAGCCCAACAGCTGCTCCTCAGGAGAAAAATGAGGCTTTCTGCTCCTGAGGAAGTCTTCAGCAAAGATTAATACCTCAGAAACGCTATACAAAGTGTCTATGAGTTAGAACTGTCTATGGCAGTTGTATGGTTTGGTCTAGTTGAACAGTAATAATACAAGGCCTCAGTGGGTTTTCCTTGGAGAAGCCCCACCCTCACCATGAATAAGAGGAAGGGAACCAAGGCTCTGTTCTTGGGGCCCATGTCAACCGCCAGGACTCACAGACACAGTGTGGCAAGCGAGATGTCCAGATGGGGGTGCCAGTTTCGCGGCTGTAGCAGGTGAGAAGTGAGCTTCCTTCGAGCACAAAGCCAGGGTTGCAGGTGTATTGGATGGTGGTGCCGACCAGCAGCACAGGGTCTGAGATCAAGCGGGTCGAGTGGGCCACCTCTCCTGGGTCGGTACAGTACATAACTACAATGGATGAGATACAGTGGCTTTAGTGTGCTGTCGCACTGTGAAACCCAAACCCAAGGACAACAAATCCCAAAGAGCAATACCAGAATCTGAGACACCAGGAAGACATTTCTATATGGTTTTCTGGGATTCCATCAGCTAGGAAGTCTCCTTTTTCCTTCTGGAGGACAGTGCAACTTCTATGCATCACATTTGGTTGGAGAAGAGGCCAGGATGAAGGAGGTGAATTGAATTTCACTGGCTCTAGGGATTTATCAAGAGACCTCTGCATCGGGACCCAAAGACATATGTGCCAACTTGTTATGTAAGGAGGGAGCAGTGAAAATCCACCAATACCACCCCACTGCCACTGAGTCAAGGAACCCTGGTGGCACAGTAGATTAAGCATTGGGTTACTAACCCTCATAAGATCAGCAGTTCAAACCCACCTGCTGCTCCATGGAAGAGAGATGAGGCTTTCTGCTCCTGTGAAGAATGACAGCTTTCGAAACACTATACAGGGTCTCTAGGAGTTGGAATAGACTAGATGGCAGTGGGTGGGTGCCTGTCGAGTGAATTCAGACTCATACCGGCTCTATAGGACAGAGTAGACCTGCCCCCTACGGTTTCCAAGGCTGTCAGTCTTTATAGGGGCAGACGCCCCATTGTTCTCCCGCAGAATGAATGGTGGGTTCAAACTGTTGACCTTCTGGTTAGAAGCCCATTGCCTAACCCACGGGGGTCATCGGGGCTCCTATTCCATTTGTAGGGGAAGAATTAATTATCAAGAAAGAGCCATTGCATGAAATCCTGAGTGGCCATTAAAAAGAACAAAATGGGATGGGGCCTTTTCTGTTTGTAGTGTCTGGTTAGAGTAAAACAAACATCCATTATTGTCTTAATTAGCAAAATCAATATAGATAAAAGGAAAACAATAAACCAACTAGAAAAGAATGAAGTGAGCAATATGAGGGAGATGAAAAGGTAGCTATACTTCTCAATGGGAGAAAGGGAGGTGCAGGGTATTTGTTTAATTTGATCCCTAAAACCATATGAAGCAGCTATTTCTACGTGCATCTGCATATGTGCATATAGATACATACCAATACCCATACATATACATATGTGTGTAACATGTGATATAGGAGGGGGCTTTGGAAAGTTCATAGTAAAAGTGGAATTGAAAGATAATAGAATTTTCCATGAACTTTTTGAAGCCCCCTCCTATGTATGCACATGTATACATACACACGCAAACACACACGCTACTAGAGCAACATAGAACCTACTTTCAACAGTGTGTAATTCTAGAGATCACAAAAGGTTGCCACTGTCTACTTGACGGTTTTATTGCTTTATTACTTCTTGGGTATGAGAAGGTCTCTGGGTGGTACAGATAGTTTGTGTGTGCTTCCTAACTAAGAGGCTGTCAGTTTTAACTCACTCGGTGCACTGTGGCCATGTCATCGGGAGAGGCCAGTCCTGATACTTGGTAAAGCGGAGCGTCAGCGAAAAAAGACGAAGACTCCAACAAGATGGGCTGACTTAGTAGCAGCAGCAATGGGCTCAAACATAACAACCATTGTGAGGTTGGCGAAGGACCAGGCAGTGTTTCATTCTGTTGTGCATGGGGTTGCTATGAGTTGGAACCAGCTCGATGGTATTTAACAACAACAGTGCACTGTGGAAGAAAGACCTGGCAACTTGCTTCCATTAAAATAGTAGCCAAGAAAACCCTATGGAATGTTAGCATTCTACTTTGTAACACATAGAGTTGCCAGAAGTCAAAACTGACTTAACGGCAATGTGTTTATTTGTTTTGAGGGGTGCTTTAAGTATTCATAAAGATCCCTGGTGGTACTGTAGGGTAAGCACTGGGCTGCTAACCACAAGTTCAGTGGTTCAAATCCACTAGCCACTCCGTGGGAGAAAGCTGAGGCTTTCTGCTCCTGTAAAGATTTATAGCCTTGGAAGCTCTCTTCAGGGTTGCTCTGAGTTGGAATTGACTCAATGGCAGAGGGCATAACTATGTATTTGTTGCTTATGGTATTAAAAAATGGAATTATATACATCTTTTAATGTCAAGAATGTAGTCCAACCAATGAAAGGTCTTTGCAACATCCACTGGCTTTTAAGGGAAAGAAAGGCTTATTGTTCCATTGGGATGATGGCGTCTCATTTTATTAGAAGAGAAAACCATCATGTCTCAGCACGGAAACAGACACGGATACTGGCACAGACAGACTTTTGTGCTCTAATATGGACTTTTTTCTTGGCAACAAAGGAGGCAGACAAGAAGACAGTTCCATCAAGAACAATGTTTCCATGAATGACAAAACTGATCACATTCATGATTTGCTGGTCTTGTTTTCCCATCATATGGTGGACCTCCCGCTCTGCTTTCCTCTTCTATCATTTAGGAGCTCTGGTGGCCCAGTGGATTCAGCATTTGGCTGTGTACTACAAGGTTGGTGGTTTGAACCCACCAACTGCTCTGTGGGAGAAAGATGAGGTTTTCTGCTCTCATAAAGATTGATGGCCTGGGAAATCCTATATAGGGTAGCTACAAGTCAGAATCCACTTGACGACTGTCAGTTTGGTTGGGTCATCACATTACCCACAAATACAACATGTGCAGTTGCAGAACACACAGAACTGTTTACGATGGCTAATTTTGTGAATCTTTGGCAGGATTTTTTCTTTTTCTTTTTCCAGATTCCTGGTATGATGTTGTAAGATAAGCAGTGAACTTCTAACAGCTAGGTTAATGATTCAAATCTATCAGTTGCTCCTTGGAAACCCTATAGAAGGTTATTATGAGTCAGAAATGACTTATAGCACTTAGCAACAACAATTAGAATTATTTTTCTTTGATATCAGAAAATTGAGGATAAGACTTGTATGTTGGTAAGTACCGTGGAGTAGGTTCTGACTCATAGTGACCCTGTACAGGGTTTCTGAGGCTGTAAATCTTTACAAGAGCAGAAAGCCTCATCTTTCTCCCACGGAACAGCTGGTAGTTTCGAACTGCTGACCTTAAGGCTGGCCTCCCGATGCGTAGCCACTACACTACCAGAGCTCCTTAGGACTTGTATGTAGCCCCCATTTTCCTCCTACACCCTGTCTCTGCTCACACTTAATATTCCTTATAGTGCAATTGGATCTGGTAGCACTGTGGGCTAAGCATGGGGCTGCTAACAGCAAGATTGGTAGTTCAAACCTAGCAGCTGCTCTGACAGAGAATGATGAGGCTGTCTGCTCCTGTAAAGATTTATAGTCTGGGAAACCCTGTATAGGGCTGCTCTGCGTTAGAACTGACTTGGTGGCAGTGGGTTTGGTTTTATGGGTTTGGGTATTGTGTAATTGGGGATTCAGGTTATAATGAAGAGGTTTGCCCAAGGATTCCCAGCAAGAGGGCTGGGGACTAGAGCTTTATTTAGGGCACAGGAAGCAAGAGGCTACTTCCAGGGCGACTTCTTCCTCCTGTTCAGTAGCATCAGAGTAGAAAGCAGGTAAAGTACATTTGTTTTTTCTACTTTTATGCAAAGTACCAGACTAATTTCTCAGCTGCCATGCCTGTTCTGCATTCCTGGGAAGCACAGGAGCAGGTGAGCAGGTAGGGATGTGGGATGGATGTTCTCTGAGACAAGTCACTTACCTACCCTAGGGGTTAAGAGCTGGGGCTCCTGCCAACTTAGACTTGTTTGACTTGGTGACTGCAAGTAGCCAGAACCTTATTTATTTAAGTGATATATCCCCATAGGCTACATCCATTCCCATCTACCACAGTCCATACCCTCCCTCTTGTCTAATACCCAGTGGATTTCATTCATTTACACTATCGACCAGGTTTCAGAAGGAGCTCTGGGGATGCTGTGGGTTAAGTGTTGAGTTGTTTGCCACAAGGTTGGTGATTCAAACCCATGGGAGAAAGATGAGGCTGTCTGCTTCTGTAAAGATCTAAGTTTTGGAGACTCTAAAGAGCAGCTTTCTCTGCCCTGTAGGGTTGCTATGAGGCAGAATCAACACTATGCTGGAGTTTGTCTTCTGAAGGGCTGGAATTGAAGTGGACTCTGAGATTTCTGCCCAAGATCTACAAAATTACTTTTTTTGAACATCACAAATGAGCAGGATAGGGCACGGTAGGGGTGGGGTGGGGTAGGGTAGGGTAGGTGGGTAAGCCTGAATTTTGCATGAAACAAACATACTGCCTTCACGCAGAAAATATTCACCCCACCCGTATCTAAAGGAAGAGAACATGCCTCTCCTTACTTTTCTCACAAAATGGGGGGTCGCTGCTCCAGCTGAGGTCCCACTGGCAGGTGAGGGTGTCACTCCCCACGATGTCATAGCCGGGGTCACACTGGTAGGTGATTCTGGCTCCCCTCACAAGCTCCGTGTGAGAAGTGGTTTTCCAGCCGTTCTGGATTTCAGGCAAATCTGAGCAGGAGTCATTTCTTGATACCTCTTTAAAACAGAAACACCATTCTTACGTGGGGAGGCCGCCTCTGGGCGGGATTCTCATTCATGAATGTCAGGGCAGAAAGCATATAGAAGGAAATGTCTCCAGAAACAAGTCATGCACTCCCTCCATCCCATAAACGGAAAGAACTCATCTGTTGTGAGATTTTATCATCCTCCTGGCCTGATCTCAATGGCTTATGATTTAGAGTCAGACAGAATGTGAGCCCTATCACTTACCAGCAATTTGACTTCCTGGAAAACTCCCTCTTCTAATCTGCGGCTTCAATTTCCTCACTTCACACAGGGGTGTCATCCTGTCTGCCTCACTCAGGTGGCTTCCAAGATGGATGGCCACCACTAATGATTCTCACCTCAGGAAATTTACACCTCTGTGTAATCCCCTTCCATACTAAATAGTGCTGATTTCTGCAATCAGCACTATTGCACTATTGTGGCAGTGAAGGTCATAAAAGGCATGGTGGCTTCTATTTACCTCCTTTTTGGATCACTTGCTTAGGAGGAGGCAGCTGCCATATTGTGAGGATGCTCCAGCGCCCCCTGGAGAGACTCAAATAGAGAGAAGCCGAGGCCTTCAGTCAACAGCCACATGAGTAAGTCATCTTGGAAGTGGTTCCTCTAGCCCCAGTCAAACCTTCAGATAAGACTGTATAGTTCTAGCTGACATCTCAATGACAACCTCATTGAAAGCCCCAAGTTCAAACCACCTAGGCTAATACTGCTCCTGAATTCCTGACCCACCGAAATGGTGAGATAAGTAATTATTGATAATTTTGGGGGGAGAAGTGGTACTATGTTGTACAGCAATAGGTAACGGACACACACAGTCTTATCCTAAGAATATCTGTAAAACTATGGGTTTGGTGAATTAGTCATATCTATTTTTGTAATACATGCTTAGATAAATTCTCCACTATCAAAAAAAAAAAAAATAATGGTTGGCGCATTCTTTAAAGCACATTGCATATCCCCAATGAACGTTAATCATGTTCCACATTCCAAAAAATGCCTCAGACCTTTTTTTTAAAAAAAATTATTATCATCACAGAGTTTTCCTCTGGAACGATTCTATTTTCCTCCCACAAACCGTCGTTACTAAGGTAACAATCCAAAAGCCCACTATTACTATTCTTGCTTCAAAGTGCCCACTGCACAGATTTCAAGAAGAGAGCTAATTATGTCTCATAATTAATTTGCAGCTCTTATGTGCTGCTGGGGAGAACAAAGCAGCCAGCAAAGTCGTTCTGAGAAATAGGCAGTGGCTTTTCCCAGGATTGCATCATGCTTTTATTTGGGAGAAGACTATCTCATGGGTGTCTGAAAGAAGAAAGGGGAAAGGGGAATGGTTTCTAATATTGCTTGGTGGGGAGCCTCTACTTTTAGGCTTTTGAAAAACCAGCCAAGCCCTGAATTTGGGTCACACCTGCAAATGTTCAGACTATGGATGAAAGGGGAGAAATCAGGCAAATATTAGTTATGTGGTTGGCCTGGTGCCAAATGCTTTCATATCGAGAAAAGTTAGTTTATCTGACTTTTCAGTATGAACATGGATATATACACCATGGAATCACACTCTCCCATTGGACCTCATGTCTTCTCTGTGGCATCTGTCCACCTGTAATTACTCAATTGCTGCCACCATTTAGCAAAGTCTTGGTTCAAATCTTGGCTCTCTGCTTATTGATTGGGTAGCCTTGTCTACGTCATTAGACCTTCCAGTTCTTCAATCCCAGATCTCACCTCCACAGGTTATGTGATTCAGGAATCTGCATGTATGCCAAACATTCTAGGTGGTCTTAGCAGTATCTATTCACATCCCAGGGGTCCCTGTGAGCTCTGCTAGGAAATAGAAAACTGTCCCAGGAATCTGAAAACTTCAATTTTCATCCTCTTTCTTTCTTTATGAAGCTGTGTGACTCCATTCACGCCAATTAACTTTTCTGAACCTCAGTGTCCTCATCTGTAGAGTGGGGTCAGTAAACAGTCCCTAGTGGTGCAGTGCCTGCCACCATTAACAGGCTTATGCTCAAGGCACACATCATTAATCAATCATTTATGATACCTCTCATCAAAACTTACAGGGAGCCATGGGCATCTGGTTGGAATTGACCTACTATCTGAACCTTGTTTATTTTCCTGGGATAAGAGGCGTAAGCATATAAAAAATGACCAACGTCTCCATGAAAAAAACACCACTTACTCACCTCTGCATTTTTATCCCCTTCCCACCCATAGCAGATGGGTGAAGAATAAAAGGTTATGAGGAGAATGGGTCTTTGCTTCTCTTGGGAACTCTGGTTGTCCAGAAACACGTATGCTCAGAGTATGCCTCTGGAAGGTTCTGACAGGAGCCACAGCAGAGAAGCCGGTGGCCACCTTCCAGAGTTATTTGAGGAGCTTCAGAAACTCCTAACCGTGACATCTGATACCCTCAATGAATGGGAGGTGCATCTATATCTGGTTAAGGGTAGGCCCAGTATAACAAATGCCTATTCCATGCCCATCGCAGACATCACTAATCAACCACTGCACTCTTTCCCACTGATTTCAGCCAGGTCTTCTTCCTTCTCTTCAAAATAGTCTTCAGTGTGGCTTAAAACACCAAACCAAACAACACCTTGTCTTTGAGTTGACTCCAACTCATGGTGACCCGACCCACCTGTGTCAGAGTAGAACTCTCTTTCATAACAACAACAAAAATTGTTGTGAAAATACACATAACAAAACATATGACAACTCAACAATTTCTATACATCTAGTGACACTGATGACATTCTTTAAGTTGTGCCACCATCCACAGAAACGTAATGTGCCCCCTAAGCTAGAACACTTCCTTCACCTTCCGGTAACCACTAATAATCTTTGGTTTAAAAATATTTGCTTATTTCATGTCAATGAAACAATCATTTATTTGATCATCATGTGTCCTTTTGTGACTGTCTTAGTTAGCTCAGTGCGATGTTTTCAAGGTTCACCTGTGTTGTGTGCATCAGGACTTCATGTCTCATTATGGAGGGGCCACATTCCATTGTGTCTCTCCATAGGGTTTCCATGGCTCTTTTCTCAGAAATTGATTGCCAGACCTTTCTTCTGAGTTGCTTGTGAGTGAACTCAAATCTCCAACCTTTTGGTTGGCAGCCGAGCACATTGACTGTACCACTCAGGGATTCATCCATATAAGCAGCCACAAGCAACTGATTGGTATCAAAATTAAGTACAGAGCCCTATGTTTCATCCCTACTATTGTGCTTGTTTAATAAAGACAGTCAGGAATGTTCTCTCGCTCTTTGTTACCCTAATTATCCCTGTGAAGTCTTCTCTGAAATCCTGTCTTGCTTCTCCTGCAGCACTAGCATACACCTCTAATGCTGTCTGTCTATAGGATTCTTTCTCCCATTTTCAGTAATCAGCTCAAGGACAGGGTGAACAGTCTATTGGTTCCTACCCCCTAATGCTGAACACAGGGTTTAGTATCAAACCCAGAGGAGGTGCCAAGAGTTCCTATGAACATAACTCTCTGGACAATCCAGATAAGACATCTAAAGATGAGATAAAATAATATATGTACAGACGCTTGCCAAGTACAAATTACTGTGTAAATCTAAGCTTTAAGTTTAATGAACAAGAACACCTCCTCTTGAAGATGTTGCTAAACTAAGCACTGGCCAGACTTTCCAGTTAACCACCATGATTAGCCTTGTGAGAGTCAGGTTTTGGCCATCAAGCTAAATGCATTTTTGGAAGACTGACTTGGGCACCAGAGAAGACAAATGAGCAAGGCAATGACCTCATCCTTCAGTGGGAAGGAAGGGAGCATCCAAGGAGATAGAGTGAAGTCAAATCATGAGATTATCTCCCTCCAAAGGCAGCTGACACAGAGGGCGCCTGACTGGGCAGTCAACAACACCCCAGGGCACTGCCTACTCAAAAGTCGGGAATCCACTGAAAGAAGCAGCATTAAGAGCCTGAAAATATTTAGTAGCACAATCAAGAAGTGAAAGGGCCCCTGAGAAACATAAAGAAAGAGGATCAATAATGGTGTTCGCCTCTTTGAGAGGTGGACATGCAACAGGCAAGGATGAAAAATGTTCATCGACTGGAAAGACAAAAAGCAAAGAACTTATTTTAGCATGCATGAATCTCCTGGGCACAGCTGATGGTCAGCAGAATGGCTTGTATTTCAGAAGCCAGAGGCAGTACACACAGGACAAGTATATTGGAGGAGATGGGCAAGTCTTCAAGCCATGGAGAAGGAACCAAAACATGGGGTGTTGTCCAGCTGGAGGGGGTTTGGTGGTGGTGGTAGGGTGGTAGGGAAATCCTCCTTTCTTCACTTCACCCTGGAGGATCAAGATGTCAACCTAGTTCTTGAAAGGAGCTTACCTATTGAGACCTTCAGAGAGTACCATCCACCATTGTGGACATCAAAGGAAGTGAGCTCTTATGCTCCTTCTTCCTGTGGCTGCTGTAACAAACTAAGTGCCCTAAACCAACAGCCCTCTATTATCTCAGTTCTATAGCCTGGGAGTAGGAGACCAGTGTGTCAGTCATGCTGATTCTGTCTCCTTTCCAGCTTCTGGTGATGGCTGGTGATCCATGGTGCTCCTTGGCTTGTAGATCACTCCAACCTCTGTTTCTGTTTTCCATCTTATCTCTATGTCTCTGTGTCTCTTCTCCTTTAAGGACACTCTTCATGTGGGATTAGGACTCCTGGTACTCCAATATGACCTCCTGTGATTCTAACATCTTCAAAGGACCTGTTTCCAAACAAGGTGATATTTGCAGGTACTGGGGACACAATTCAATAATCTGTTGTTGTTAAGTGTTGCCAAGTTGATTCCAACTCATAGTGACCCTATATAGGGTTTCTGAGGAACAGCTGGTGGGTTTGAACTGTTGACTGTGTGGTTTGTAGACCAGTGATGATCCTACAGCGCCACACCAGAAGTCCAATTTAATAAGTAATAGGTCTTAAGTACCACCTGTGTCTCCCTAGTTCTTTGGTGCTGCCAAAATAACTGGGAAGTGGAGGTAGGGGGCATAGGCATGAGGCTCAACTCTAGTTCTGTCAAGCAAGTCCATTTTCCTTGCTGGTTACACTCCTTTTCCTGGAGTTGTCAGTTCTAGTCCCCTCTGGAGTTGGGATCAGTGGGACTTCAGTGTTATAACCCTTTGACTTCTGGGTGAAGGAAAGGTCCTAAGAGTGGGCAAGCATTAAAGTAGGTGAGCTGGTGAGACCCTTACTTTTGAGAAGTGAGGATGGCAGCTTGATTAGGGTGGTGGCCGTGAGAAGACAGAGGGAAATCCTTGAATATGAAACGTATTGTGGAAGTAGAGTTGAGAGGAGAGATTAGATCTGGGGATGAGGAAAAAGAAAGCAGTTATGAGTCCTAGGGCTTGGTCCAAGAAACCAGGAAATTGGGGTTCCATTTCTTGGGATAGGCAAGAAGTAGAAGAGGCAGTTTGGTGGTGGTAACAAAAGAGATAGTTTTGATTGGGTCATGCAACAGTTGAGATGCTTACTAGACATACATGAGAATACCTTGAGGGTATTTGGGTATATCAGTCTGGAATTCAAGTTTGGAAGTGAAACGGGGTCAATGAAATATGCTGCTGGTTGCTGTTCTGTTGGCCCTAACTCATGGCAACCTCCTGTACAAGAGACACCACCATCATCCCCGAAGTAGATCCCCAGTCCTTTCTCCCTAGTCTGCCTGTCTGGAGGAGCCACTGAAACCTGCCCATCATGGGTGACCCTGCTGGTATTTGAAATGCTGGTGGTATTGCTTCCACTATTATGACAAACACAAGCCACCCGAGTATGACAAACTGACAGATGTGTGGCAGCAATGGGATGTAGGTATTCCTTTAAGTGATAGGACTAGAAGAAGACAGGGTCTTCTTGTATGGAGCCTATAGCCAGCTCTCCAGGAGTTAGAGGTTAAGCAAAGGCGGGTAAAGGACCAGCAGTAATGAAGGGGTATTAGAGGCTGGCGAGTAAAGAGGAAAGGGTGGGTGGATGATGTCAGTTATGTAACATTGAACCAGTTCCAATTCATAGCAACTCTGTATGAGTTTTTGAGGAGCACCTGGTGGGTCTGAAGTGCTGACTTTGTGGTGACTAGTCCAGTACTTATCCTACAATACCACACCAGGTTTTAAGGTACAGGGAAAGAAATGGTCTGAAAGTCTTAGTGAGGAGCAAGAAAGGCGTCCCTTGTACCTGAAGAGCCTAGAACATGCGGAATGAGAAACAGCCAACTCGATTTCTCGATTTGACAGGGCTGCAGTGCAGAGCCAAGCTTCAGTTCTGGCAAGAAGGCAAAGACCACGCTATGAGAACTTGCAAATATAGGCGAGTGGGTTGATGACAAGCTGATGACAAACAAAACATGATGAATCTTGAACTTCTAAAGCATCACCAATCAAATCCTGATTATCAGCCTTGGGGAGTAAGTAGCATTATTCCCAGAAAGGAGGCTCAGAGAGACCCAGTGACCTACTCAATGTCACACAGCCATTGATGACAGAATTGGGACTCAAACCCTAGTCTTTTTGAGTAGAGAGCCCAAGCTCTTAAAAATCACACACATGCACAAAGTAATTTCTTTTTTTGTCATTTAAAATGTACACAACAGAACACAAACCAATTCAACGATTTCTGTGTAAAATTCAGCGACATTCGTTACATTCCTCAGGTAGTGTGGTCATTCTCACCTTCCTTTTCTGCATTGTTCTTGCACAAAGTCTCTGCTTCCTGTTTTCCATCTAACCTTTCCAAGTTATTGTCAGTTTGAATACCTGTAGATAGTTCTTAAAAAGAGCTTAATGCTCGAGACAGGCAGTCTTTACAAATTAAACTAACCTACATTGAAAAAACCCCCACATTGATTTGCTGTTCCAAAATAATGAAGGGGTACCATAATGTAGCACAACCTCCCCCAAATAGACATATTTATGGGAAACCATTTTAACCTGTCCCCAAAACACCAAGAAAAACAATTGGCTAGGCAAGATACCTACCTATGTAGTTCATGATAAATCCCTGGCCCTTCCCAAAGATGAGGCCAGCCGGGTCCGAATGGAATTGGATGGTTAGGTCTGGTGTGGAGGAGTACAACTTCTGGGGGCCACTGTTCCCAAGATATTGGCCCAAGATGTGAGGCATGGCCTCATCACCATCATAGATCGTCAGGATGTCGCTGTTGCTCAGGTTCAGGCTTGGAGGATAGAGAGAAATCTTAGGAAGTCAGGATTAATGCAAAAGTATGAGCATTCAATCAGCCTTTCATTGATTGTTTTTCAGGCAGCACACATTTCCAAGGACATACTACGTGCCACGCTCCAGGCTAGAAACTGAAGAAGCAAGTGATCAAGGGGTATTGGCTCTTCCTGCAAGCATGGTACATGCAGATTTGTGGAGGGATTGAGTTTTGAAAGCACATTTATGGAACTGTCTTTTCTGCATGGGGTACTCACTGTACACTCAAATGCTATGTACTATGCATACGAGAAGAATTAATTTCATCACTCCCCCACATGATCCCTTTCATCAATGATCATTTGTAAAAATTGTATTTATTTTGTTGTTGTTGAAGAAAATATCCACAGTAAAAGAGATGAGAGTCCTTCAAAACTACCAGGTTTATTGGTTGTATAGAGACTGGTGGAACCCTCAAGACTATGGCCCTTCAGGTCTGGAAGTGAATTTACTTCCATGGCTCAATTTCCAGCCAAGCAGTAGACAGGTCTATAAGGAGAACAGTAACACTAGGGAGGTACCTTAGAATAGTTAACCATTTAAGATTGAAAGGGCAATATTGACCCAAGGACAAAGGTTAGGAAAGAAGGAGGAATGGAAACAGGAAATATGGGGTAGATGTGGGATGAGTGATGTTACGTTGAGGGGACTATAGTCAGTGGGATTGTTAGAAATGAATCCCGATGTCATGTAAAAGACACTTGGTGAGACTAAATTACCTTGGCAAAGCAAAATTTTACTCCTGCAGGAGTGTGTGTGTGCATAGCCATACATACAGAAACGGGCCAGAGAGCACATGGAGTGGGCAGTCCACTTGGGTTTTTAATCCCTGACGTGAGTCTTAAGGTTGTGTCTCACTCCATTGGTTAGGGCTAACAGGATTATGATATGTATATATATCTGGCAGCATAGTGGTTATGAATCGGCCTGTAAACCACAAGGTCAGCAGTATGAAACTACCAGCAGTTCCGTGGGAGAAAGATGAGGCATTCTGCTCCTGTAAAGATTTATAGCCTCAGAAACCCTGTGTAGGGTCGCTATGAGTCGGAACCGACTCCAC